ATCGTCGTTCGTGGCGAGCCACTTCTGTCGGCAAAATTTGAATTGCACCTTCTCTCAAACACGTCATAGAACCTCTCTATATTTATATATTATCATATTACAGAGGTTTGGATTGGTTCTGAAATCACCCTCCAGATTGATTGAACCAATCGAGCATGGAAAATTCGACTAGAACTCACAATATCACCGCGATTATATGATAATAAAACCGAGTACGAGCGCAACAACTTTGAATTTTGGGGCAAAACTAGACACGACCGTGGTGGAAACGAAACTGATTTGCAGCATTGTGACTACGAGGACTCGACCAAAACACATCAGATTATGCACCAGCCACGTTAGCCCCTACTACTGTATCTCTCGTTCATTCTATTTTCCGCGCCCCCAACTGCGCATTGTCGAACGAATACACATGAATCCGATCCTTGGATCCCCCTGCGGCCACGAACGCTTCTTCTGTGGTTGCGATGAAGTCAGCAGGGCCGCACACGTACAAGTCGCTATGCGCAAGATTTGGCGCAATGTCTTTGAGCTTGTCGGCCGAGACAGTTGGCGCATAGTGGATGGAACTGGATTCCCATTCGATGGGCTTTTCTGTAGAGGTCACCGCAGAAGTGTACGCGTCCACGTCGGCTTGGTTGGGGGCCACTTGCAACGTCACGGCGCTGCCGTGGAACGATTCTCGAATGCGATACAGTCCCTCCAGCATGACCAGGAATGGCACGCACCCCACCCCATGACTCACAAACACGACATTTGAGGGAATGGATTCGGGCGAGTCGATCTCAAACCGGACGTTTGACTCAATCCAGTACAACTTGACGGTCGCTCCAGTCGCTTGGGTGACGAGCCAGTGCGACGACGCGCTCACGTCGTCCACGACAATGTCGATGGTGTTGGTCCCTTCGACACTGAGTGAGGCAATCGTATAGTGCCGCTTCACTTCTCCCCCTTCGGCGACAGGCAGCCCCAGAAGAATCGCATCGCCCGGATGGAACCGCAAGTTAAAGTCAAAGGTCAACGTGAGTCGCTTGGCCGTCGCTGAAATTGTCTCCGACTTGGAGATCGTCGCGGGCAGGCTTTCTGTGATCTCGACAGGCTCGTTGTTTAGGATCACGGGGAGCATCACAAAGTAGATCAAGCTGTACGCAGTCAGGTACGCCGTAGAAATCTCTGGAGTCCACTTTTCTCCGCTCACGATTTCCAGCGTTTGTAGCAAAATCTGGCCCACCGCCGTGTAATGTTCCTTCTTGGCCCCGTACTTGAGATGCCGTTTGGCGAGTTCTTGGGCCGCCCACACGATGTCGCTACCATTGATGACTGTGGCTAGGGTATTGACAATCCCCGCCAACGACTTGCCTTGCATGGTCGTGTTGGATCGAAAAATCGGACGCAGCGAAGGCGCCGTCTCGAACAAGATGTTATAGAACGTCCGATAGAAGAACTTTGTCGGAGTCACGTGCTTGACCGCGTCAAACGCGGAAGTGCCCTGGCAGATGGCAGACCAATTCTCCTTGATCAGAGCTTCGTGCTGGCGGGTGACCACGGGGCATTTGATGTCAAATGGCATGTCGTTGTCGAAGCGGGCAGCGAACGGCTCTGTGAGCCCAATGGCGCCATCTCCGGCAACGTAAATGATCTCAGCGTTTTCAACAGACACAGCTCCTCCCATGACGTGTTTTGCGGGGTGTTGTTGGATGGGTACGTGTGAATGGCGCAGTAAAGTTGGGAATGGGTGAAACGTACGCGCGAAACTGTTTCGATATGTTGAATATAAACCAGGAGGCGAATTTTACGCCGCCATGCAAAGCAATGACACTAGAGAGGTATGGCAAGTCATCCGTGCACTATACATGTATTACGTACTGTACATCCCTTCCTCGCAATATTGGATTTGAAGCATCCCCCCAGGCCACTACGGAAAATTCGCGAAAACCCATTCGCCTGGGCAAAGCCCCCAAAACATAATACTAACATGTAAGGTAATGCATCAATTAATGACACTGTTTTTGGTGAAGGTTTGGCCATGACTTTAAATCCCAGTAACGTTAGCTCGAGAACGAGAACGATTATTTTAATGCTGATAGCACCTCAAGGAAATATAAAACGCCACCATTTTGTTGACGTATCATTGAGCATGATTGGACTACATTTCGGATTTGTATAAAAATTAAATGTTTTGAGCTTTATGGTCACGACTTTTTAGGTGAACCAATTCACGACACTCCTTAAAAACCTTGATGTTTGTAAAACATTAAATTAATATAATTGCATGCATTTCGCAATATGTAATAAATGTTTACATTAATTTAATTAGTCAGCGTAAGCCACATTTTAATTCACTGCACTGAATCACAACAGTAAGCAGCATACAGTAGTGGAGGCCATCCACTCGTTGCGAGGAGTAATACTGTACGCTGCTGCTTCTTCGTTAATGGTAGCGATGGTTCTAAAGTGAGTACTTCCATGTATCACGTAGCTATGCACAACTGCCGTGACGCTCTCGTAGGCATGTATGCATGTATGGCTGGACAGCGTCAAGGCATTCTATTCTATTTAAATACTTGTAGTTTTTTGTTGAGATTGAAAAAAACTGAGGCCAACACAAAATATCGAGATGCTATTGGCACTGTATGTACCGTAGCCCTGTATCCGAGGTTTCCCACTCGACTTAAATTTCGACAGTAAAATAATGTGGGCGTTGTTTATTGTTGTTAACTGTAAGTCGACGTTCAATTTCTCGACTTACTGTTTACTGCATAAGTGGGACACTTCAGCATACATTACACTTGGGCATCGTTCCGTGATACTACGTAGTACCTTCGATGGAGGGGAGTCAATGCACTATACTTGTATGTATCCTGGGACTCCGTCCTACCCGACGAGTACATACGATGCTAAAAAAACCGAATCACCACCAGTAGAGGTGAGGTACCTGATTTCAACATAGAGACGTGTAATAAAATAAGCGACGAATATTATCATATCCAATCATAAAGGTATGAGCATACAAAGATCCATATAAACGCTCAATTTGCATGCAGAGTGTCGTTCTGAGAGAAACAACAGTGACACTGTGTTAATGAGGGAATTGAACCCCTTTGCGCATATGGTAGCAAAACAACTGGTGTACTCGCCATACTTGGAGCCATATCGGCATACTATGTACAAGTCATATCAACAGTGTATCCTCTGTGAACTCAACAGTGTATCCATTGTAAACTCAGTGTATCCGTTGTGAACTCAACAGTGCCATTGCTTTGCGCGGCAGCTTCAAAATAGCCCCCTGGCTTCTATTTGCATTGAACGCCAACTTTTCACTCATTCCCAACTTTACTGCGTCGTTCACACGTACCCATCCAACAACACCCTGCAAAACACGTCATGGGAGGAGCTGTGTCTGTTGAAAACGCTGAGATCATTTACGTTGCCGAAGATGGCGCCATTGGGCTCACGGAGTCGTTCGCTTCCCGCTTTGAGAACGACATGCCATTTGACATCAAACGCCCCGTGGTCACCCGCCAGCACGAAGCTCTGATCAAGGAGAATTGGTCTGCCATCTGCCAGGGCACTTCCGCGTTTGACGCGGTCAAGCACGTGACTCCGACAAAGTTCTTCTATCGGACGTTCTACAACATGTTGTTCGAGACGGCGCCTTCGCTGCGTCCGATTTTTCGATCCAGCATGACCGTGCAAGGCAAGTCGTTGGCGGGGATTATCAAGACCCTAGCCACAGTCATCAACGGCGCCAACATCGTCAGTGCGGCCCATGGACTCGCCAAAGGGCATCTCAAGTACGGGACCAAGAAGGACCATTACACGGCGGTGGGCCAGAATTTGCTGCAAACGCTGGAAATCGTGAGCGGAGACAAGTGGACTCCAGAGATTTCTACGGCGTACCTGACTGCGTACAGCTTGATCTACTT